GCTCCAGCCCTCTGAGCATCTTAATGCTGCATGCGTGTGTGTACATGTATGTGCATCCAGTGGATTAATCACTAGCCATATCAAGCTAATTCCAAATGTGTAGACCTTGGACTGTATGAAAACATTTAAAGCAGAGAAGTAAATTTACATTCGTAAATAAGAAATAAATTCCAGCATCTTAGCAATTCAAATAAATAAAATAAAATGGGTGTTGTGAAGGATGGTGTTTAAAGCCACGCTAGCAGCAAGGTGGTAGGTTGTTTCAGTGTGGAATCTGTCTTCTAACCTCTGCTTGACCTAGTTCTGCTGAGTTCCAGTAGTCTGTGCAAATACGTATTCTCTAAGTATAAGAATAGTAGCAGCAGTTACACTACCTAGAACAGGAATGTACGAGGGCTATCAGCTGTCTTGCCTAGGGGCATGAGATGATCGCCAGCTGGGGTTAAGAAAAAGCCTTTCCTTCCTGTGAGGCATTACATAATTGTCTGCCTATACTAGGTGTGTTGGGGTTTTTGTCTGAAATTTATTATATAAGCTACTGCTCTAAGGAGATGCCAGACTAAGAAAACAGTCTGACATATGATTTATGACAATTCCTTTTTATTGTTTTTAATGCTGTCCAAAGTAAAATGAAATTCACTCCATGTTTCACCTTGTTAGCTTTGCGACGCGTTGCTTTTAACACTGTCCTGCCAGCTTTGTGACGTAAATTTGACTGCAGCTGAGGAGTATTGTTAATCCTCTCATCTCCTTGTGGGGAATCAGAGTTGAGCCAAATGAAATGTTTTGTGCTAGTGTGTTTTCTTTTATTGCTGCACATACAAAGAGAGTAACGATGCTGGCTGCCAGGATCCCACTAGAGTGATACTGATTCCCCACATTTATGAGATGCCAATAAACCAGAAGTTATTCTTTTTCATCTTGCAGCTTACTGTTCACCAAAGTGAAACTGGAATGGATACATAAAGGACCTGAAGAGGCTCTGGTGACATGCAGACATATGTTGCAGATGTGGCAGATGGTATATAATGTTTTACAGCACAGGTAGGCTTTCTCCACTGTCTGACAAGTTCAGATTTCGTAATGGAGTTGCAGTTATCTTCTTTAATTGTATAGACACTTATTTTGTAAAAAGGGTAATAAACAGTACTGTTTAAAAAGAAATGCAAGTAATATTTCTAGCTGTGATTAAAAAAAAAAAAAAGCATGATTTTAATAGCCATGATTTAAAACCCCACAAACAACAAAACCTTGAGATTTTAAGATTGAAGAATCAGTTTGACCCAAGAGTTTCTGATCTGAATGTCTAAACATCTCTATCCATATTCAGATGTCCAGGATGTAGGATAGATTCCTCTCTCCCCCAAGTAGTGCTGAGCATCCATCAGCCTATTGTTCACAGGCTGCAGTACTTGGCACCACCCAGGGATGTGTGGGGGTGACACAATCCTGAACTGAGTAAGACAAGGAAAGGCACATGGCCAAGACTCTATCATATGCTGGGGTTGCATGCCCATCGCATAGCCCGGTGCTAACAGGGGAAAAAAAGGAGTGAAGGATGTAGCTTCTTTATTCCTTCAGTTGGCCTAGTAAATCTGCATTTAAGCAGTGCTAGGTTCCCTGTTTGTGCCCTCCCTCTCATCTGCTTCCCCTCTGAAAGGAAAAGTTCAGAAAGTGTGAAAGTTACCAGGTTGGATTTTGTTCCTTCTCACACCCTTTGGATATTGTCATAGTCATGATAATATGACCGAAACAGTTGTACAGTGGTATCTCAAGACTGTACTTACTTCTCCATAGAGGTTGTATGTGATGGGAAGGACAGCATGCTTGATGGCAGCAGTCACAGCAGCAGAGATGGAGCCTGTATTGTTCACTAGTTTCTGTATGCATTTACATAAGCTTTATAAACACCGGAAGTATATGTACAGAATGATGCATGTCTATATACAACTGTCCTTGAGGGATTATTAGTAATTCCTTGTTGGTTTTGCTAATGAGCAGCAGACCAAACACAAAAATCAAGATATTTACATAGCAGCAGAGAAATGGTCTCTTAGAGGCTGGAATCATTGATTTCCTTGAGTCTTAGTTTCTTTAGCTAAGGATTCAATCATGTACTTCTCACATGAATAATCTTTATACCCATGAGTAGTCCTTGTGAAGCTGATCAAATCCACACTGAACAATTATGACTGAGTAGGATTTACTCTTGAAAGGGGGAGGGGGGGGTGCTGCAAGCCTGAGGCTGAAGAGAGTACATTGGAAAAGCGACAAATAAATAGTTCAGCCATTTGGACTGCATTTGGATCCCAAGCTGTGCTTTGGCTGTTATACTTAAAAACCCAAGATGTGATAGCTTTAGAGGCTTTTGATAAGCTTTAGCCATAGAAGCCTAAACAAAACAAATTGCTTTGCTTTTGCTTTTAGGAACCCTTAATGTGTGTTTCATTGCTGTTCCCAGTGGGACTTCTTGATTTTCTCAAAAAATACATCATAAGGCGTTTTCTGTTGGGAAGTACTGCTTGAAAAGTAACAAGAATGAACTTGGAACCTGCAGTTTTAGACTGGATTCAGTGACCCAGGAAGCCCCTGCTATTAAGCAAATTTCAGCAGTATCAGCTAACAAATATGCAAACTATTCCGGGTTGGGCTAGCAAAGGAACTTAAGGGGAATTCTTATCAGTGAGGCTTGGACACAGACATTTTTAGGGCCTATTGAAAAAGAGAAGCCTTTATTTATACATAAAGTGGAGAGCACCCAGTACTCTTTACTAGTTCAGTCAGCAGCTAATAGCCTACAAAATTAAATTGCAGTTTTAGTTACATTTGGTTGCATTTGTCTGGCCTAAGTTTCACGGCTTTGCAGTCTTACTATGAGTCTGCTAGACAAAAGAGTCTTTTGGGGCCCAGTACGCCTGCTTCCCAGGCAGCCGTTCACATGCCCTGCTCAAGTCCCTTCTTGTCTTCCCTCTGATGAACTGGTGCCTCTGCAGTCCCTCACGATCCAGTGTTTCCTTCAGCAGTTTTTCTCTCCCTTTTATCCACTGTCTCAAGTACCTTTTCAAAACATGTGCAGTGGAGTGGCAACGCGTCCCACTGAGCCTTTCCAGTGCTGTATGCGGAAGGCAAAGAATCTGGCTACTGTCCCTTCCGTGGTGCATGGAAAAGCTTTCTTGGCCGAAGGCCTCGTACTGCAGCTTTGAAGGAGTAGTTCGTTTCCAGCCCTTCTCCGGGATAAGGAATAAAGCTGTTGGGAGTGGCTGTTTTATACAGTGCTGCAGCCCACTTGGGTTTCAGGCTGGGATTTCAGTCTGCTTACCCAGTGAAAAGGCTGTGCTGTTGACTGTACGGAGGTGCATTTTGTTAATGAGGCCATCTCATCTAGCCTTCTCTGAACGCTGCTCTCCTGTGGTCGGTTTTTACTGTGGTCAAACTTACACCATCCGCCAGCCTCCTCGCCTGTCCCTTGTGTAGAAGTATAGCATGTAAACCAGTGTTCAGCCATGTGCCTGGACTTTGTGGTGGTGGCAGCTGCTGCATGCAAGCAGCACTGGCCTCGTGGGAGTATTATTTGAAGTGCAGCTGCCGTGTTCCTGCCTACGCAACGCAGCGGTGAGACAGAAATGCCCCTACGGTTCTGCCAGCAGCCCCCACCCAGGGCACTTACAGTTGGGCTAATCCTGGCTAGGACAGGGAATTTAATTTTCCCTTGTGTCTGTCACCACATTATAGTGTCAAATGGCGTATGGGTGTGGAAACCAGTATGGAAAACAGGGAGGCCCAGGCCAGACACTTGTGCAAACAGTCAAATGCCCAAGCATTCAGGGTCCATTAACAGAAATGGTAATGTTTGATCCCAAAGCCCAAGCAAAAGGTTAATTAGCTAATGTAAATATGATTACCACTATGATGAATGACACTAAGTAGCTTTCAGTCCTAGATTGTTAGCTGGCAATGACAAGACTTGGTTTATCTTTTGCTGTTGTTTTCTGTGATAACAGAATAATCGAGTTTAAAACCAAGTAGCAGTTCCAAGCTAATTCTTCTGCTAGATTAATGTAAATTCAAGGAATCCCTACCAAAGGACTGATCAGGCTGGAAGACGGTGCATCCATAGCAGTCATGACTCCGTGACAGCTTGTTTCCTGGGGGGGAATCTTGTCCAAAGGCCGAGCTGCAGGCTTGGAAGTGTGCCAGAAAAAGTAGCCAGGGCAGTCACTTTTCCTTTTGGTATTTTGTCCCTTAATGGATGATGAGAGGACATATCATCACCATCTGTTCCTGGGGGGATCACAGACTATGTGGTGACAGGAAGGCTCAGGAGATCTGCGTTAAGTGGTTTTTCATTAGGCACATGATTATTGGATTTTTTTTGGAGATTCCCTTTGGAAGATATCTCCTGTGAGGACAGAAGTCTAGTGGAGGACCAGACCAGATAGTTCTCCTTTCATATAATGGGGCTATCTGGTAGCTTTTATATTCCTCTTCAGACTGAACAGAACAAAGGTTGAACAGGAGAAAGTTCCCGTTGAAATGAAGAAATTAGCACCTGGGTGGAAGGTGTTAATGGGTCTGTTTCAAAAGGATCAGCACAGTAGATCTGTGAACAAAACCTTCTGCAGACAAGCCCAAGGGATGGTGATGAGGCTGCTGGTTGGCCTCCTGGTCTGGTTTCTAGCTGCCAACATGTTCCTTGTCCACTGGTTTTCAAAGACTCCCAACAGCCAAATAAACTTACACTGGCATATGCCCTGGAGCTCTTCGTTGTCGCTGGGTCTCTGACCTTCCTCTCCGTGGGCAGGGTGGGGGTGTCAAAACAACACATCCAAGAGGCTGATTGCCTGCAACTGGAATGCTTGAATTTTCAGTTCCAGTTGCAGCTAGATGAGACTATTGCCTGATTCAAGGAGACCAATGTCTTTCTGCTGAAAGGTGGCCAGGTAACGTGGTTTTGTTTCTCTACAGTGGCTCTGAAAAAGGAAGTAGTGTGACTGAAACACCAGTGATCAAAAAGCCTAACGGACTGCACCTTACACTCCCAGATGCTCACGATACCGATTCCGGTGAGGAAACAAGTTGTGCATCTTAAATGCATGCTTTTGTGAGAAAGTAGTGTTTTGTTCTCTTTGGCGGGGCTGTGTGCACGTGTGTTGCTGAGCTGGTGATCACGAAGTCCAGATCTGTCTCCAGGGCCATCTCTGCTGCAGAACGTGTCACTGTGGTTTGTCTGTACCTTGGCTTCCCCATACATAAAACTAAGAGATGAGTTCCTGCTTTCTTCCACAAAGCTCTCTGAGATGAGCATGAAATGTATTAGATGGGAGTTCACTGTAATTCTACAAGAACTGTATGATTTGTCTCTTTTTTTTTTTTTCCCTCCTTCTTTCCTGTCCCCCTCCCCAGTTTAATCCTTTTAGATGTCCTGATCAAGCCAGCTATTATTGTGGTTTTGGAAAGCTGAGTGAGAGTGTCAGTTCCTATTAGAGGGTGAATTGCTTTGGGATTTGTACATAAACCTTGTGATGCTTTATTATGTGGTACATACACATTCACAGTAACAGATATAGCCAGATGGAAATAACTGAGACATCAAAGCTAATCTTGGCAGGAAGGGGAAAGGAAGCCTTCAGAAGAGTGCTGCTGACTTGTGATTTTATCAGAAGTCTCGTGATACTTGGTGCTTCCTTTAAACCCCTAACTCTCAAATCAGATGATTATGTGAGAAACTTGCCTTTTAACTTTGAGGGTTTTTTTACTTTTTACCCTTATGGATGCAGAAGAAACACTTGCAAAACAGTGAACCTCCCAGACTCAGAAATTGGAAAAAATAATTAAAAAAAGCTTAATTAAAAAACCCCAAACTAACACTTAAACAAGTCTCATACTCTGGGGCTAGCGAATTGGGGTTTGTCTGAGTCTTAATCTTGAACATTTGGAATGGGTAACGCTGAAGTCACATGCTCAGCATATACAGCTGAGATGGAGGACAAGTTCTTATGTGTTAAATACATAGCTTGTATTAAATTACCTGTGTTTAACCCCCATTTACACTCACCAATGGTTAAAAAGCGTTGCAAGGTTAGGTCTTGGGCATACAAACATTCAAACATCAAAACATTATTCAGCATGTCTGCTCTTTTGTTTCTAGTATTAAAGCCTTAGGGTCTGTCTTTATGACATTGTAATCTTACTGATTCTGTGCGCACATATTTATGTAGTTTTTAATCTGTTTATTCCATTTTATTATTCTTTCATGAGATGAGTCTGTGTTTTGTATAGAACCTTTTTCTCATTGTTTATATGGCAGTATTTATTACCCTTCAGCCTAGTTAAAGAGAACAGGCCAAATTCAGATGGATGAAGAGGATATACTAAATATTTGGCATATTAAAAATTATCTGGAAAAGGGTGTGGATATGACATGGAAGTTTCCTGGTGATACAGAATCATGTAGGTTAGTCATCACTTGAAGATAATCATGCAGATTTGTGAAATATATCGTATCATCCCTGATGCTGGGCAGTAAAATGGACTTTCAGTGAATATATGAAAATTATTTAGAAAACACTGTAGGTAGCTTGCAGGATCTGTCAGCCACTAGGCATTACTAGGAAAGCAGTAAACCCCCTAAATTATATTTGCCACAGTACCTGCGTTATCCATCCCATTCCCACTCTGCAGTTGAAACAGTGAGTGGCTTATGGTGCCTAGGCTGTGAGCCTGGACTTATCCCTGCCCCTTCAGCTCTAGCTGGTGCTAAATGTAAAAGGCATTCTGGGTGTGGATCCCATGCTCTCTTGGAGATCCCTTGCCTGGCTTTGTAATTGTCTGGAGAACGGAGTGTGGCCAGGTTTGGGCTACACCCACTTCACAGCACGGTTTGAGATTTTGATACCGTATTGTCACCAGTACAGCCTGTCGTATTTTGATGTGCTGGTGTGCCACCCATCTAGGGCCTCGCTCCTCTGCTGCACACGTGCAGCTCCTTCTCCACAGGCACTGCAAAGATCAGGCATGTTTGGTCTCCGCAAAAAGCCCCTGGGTTGGGTGCCTGTTCCAGCCCGCTCTTAGCCCCTTTCTAGCAGCCAGCGTGCAGTGGAGCAGCCGCAGTTCAGCAGAAAGTGCTGTACGCTGTGGTACTGCCTGCCAGAAAGAGCAAATTCATGTAAAGTACAAGCTTTAAACCAGCTTTTCACACACATAAAGGGATTTTCACTGAATGCACTTTTTGATTTTAGCCAAAAAATGTATTCCTCCTCCACTTTGAGAATCTAGTTTTCCATGCTAACATGGCTGCACCCACCGTGGATGTAAGGATGGGGCTCATAAATGATGCCATCCACCTTAGCACAGGATTGGCACTGGCCGATTCCAGCAAGGGTCTGTGGCTCAGTGCTCTGCAGGCTGTAGGTGCTGCTCTTCTCCATCTGCAGAAAGGAGGCAGCTGGGTCTCGCTGAAGACAGTGGGAGGTGAGACTGGAGAGCACAGCTCTCGCCCTTCTACCTGCCCAGATCTGCGGCTGTGCCTGGCTGCTTTGAAGGAGGGAGGAGATCTGAGGGTTTTGCATCGTTCTGGAACAGGCTCTGGTTTCCATCCTGAAATCCCCCCGGGAGCATGCAGCAGTATCGCTGTAGCACACAGGCGCTCTGTGATCTCTGGGCTCGTCACTGAAGGGGGGGGATTACTGTGACCGGGTTTGACACTGGCCTCTCCCTCAGTTAGACCACAATGAGATTATTTGCTGTGCCAGAATTTTAGGTTTGCTGCCAGAAAGATTAATTCCTCTTTATTTTCTTCATCTTCTCCCAACTGAAGCAGTGTTCCTAACTAAATTCACTCATATCAGTCAGCTGCCTTGCTGTTTCATTCTTTTTCTGATTTAGTCTTATCTTGTAATGTTCTTGCTTGAAGTGATTTAGGCTGGGGAATTCTATGTTTCTTATAAGCCCAGTAAATCTAGTGAGGTACATTTCTATTTTGATAGCAGTCTTTCTCGTAGATGCAAAATATTAAACTTGGTCCTTCTTGGTCTTATAACAACCCTAGAACAGTGCTTTAAAATTATTTAAATATATTTTGTATGGCTTATACACAGAGCTCATCACAACAAAATCAATTTTTCTATATTTATGACTTCTTTCCAAAATGTGTGGAGGGCTTTATTGTAAAATGTGAAGTTTATATTTCGTCTAGTGGAGCTGTTAAAAAAGAGAAAGAGACTGCACTAAAATAACAAATTGATGTGATACCTTCTTATGCCAACATTTGCATGTATTTTGAGGCATGACATTAAAGTTCTGTGAGACAGGTTTTGCAGGTATTTTTAGCATATAAAGATGTACATTTCTTTAGGAAGAGATATTTTATAATGAGACATTCAGAGTTTGGGGTTTTTTTTAACGTTTGAAGTTTTTCTAGCTCCCGTGCCACCCTGAGTTCGGAGTGATACCGATGAGACACATGCCTACCTTCTCTCTCGGGAGATGGGATCTGTTAGAGGTATACTCTCTTCTGGCTCCAGTAGCCTTCAGCCCACACCCAGGGTCACCATTTTCCTTGCCTGGGGTTCAGAGCTGTGGCTGAGCCCCTTTCAGTCCAGAAGTGCTAGGCTGGTAAAGACCTCTCTTACAGAGCTTAGTTGGGCAGACAAGCTTTAAGGAGCATTCCTGTGAGCCATCCAGCAGAGATTGGTACCAACAGCAGTGACTGAAGTCCAGGTATGGGCTGGGATGGAGAGAGCCTTTTCATCTGCCGTGTGTGTGTCTGGAACAAGGAGTGTATCTGTGTCTGAGGCTGGACAGGGATGGGAAGGGATCCTGCCTAGTGTGGCTTGCTTCCTTGTGTAGGCTAAGATGGAAAAGAAAATAAACATTAAAAGGGCTGGGATACCAAAGGCTGTTAAATGCAAAGAGCCTCCGCTGTAAGCTGCCAAGTAATTTGTGTTCCTGTTTTATGGCTGTGCAAATTGAAGCCCTCAGCACTGGGTAAAATCAGTCCCAAATCGCAGGCTTTTCCCTCTTGGCAACTATGCGGCTAATGAAGAGGAGGAGCGGCTAACTCATATTCCTTTGAGTGCACCTAGCTTGTTGTAATACTGCTGCAAAGCCTGCTCTGTGAGGGAAGGATGCTTCAGTAGATCCTAAGTGGCTGTTCAGCCTCACAGCAACATGTGAACCTCTCCAAAATGCACAGAGGTGCCTTACAGTGACATAGTCTCCTTGGATTGACTTGCAAGGAAAAGAGGATTTCCCTGAGCTCTGTGAGGATGTGAATAAAACACCAGCCCATCCGCCCACCTAATGCAATCAGACCTAATGCAAGCATTACGTATGGGTGCTTGCAAGCAACGCAGCTCCAGAGAGCCTCTCTGAAAGAGGGCAGTCTTGGCAGAGAAATGTAATGCTGGAAGTTGCTTTCAAAGCATACTAACATGATCGGGAGTGTAACACAAGAATCTGGTTAGGCTGACTAAAAAATCCCCAAAGCCCATGTAAGTTTTTCCACGTCTGCCAATCTAGAAGGCAGGAGGTCTGCCCTGACTTCGAAGTGTTTCTAATAACATCGCTAGCTGTTCACGTGGCCATTTTCTTCTCTGCACTGCACAGGAACTGTCCCTGTGTTGGATGGCAGGGGCTGAGTGCCTGGGAGTTTTCCCTGGGTTAAACACCCTTGTCTGACTTGAATTGTCTGGAGTTTCTGTGAAATTTGTCCCAGGTGGAGGGAGGGATGAAGGGGGAGAGGAGTGTGAGTGGGCAGGGCAGGGGGAGGAATCCCATGCAGTGCAACAGGCTGAAGGTGGATCTGTTAAGTAAACTGTTAAATGTAATAAATTCACAGTGCAAAGCAGAATGGCTTGTACCATACTATTAAAGCCATAATTGCTATGTTACTGCACTGTCATCTCTTGGAACAGAAGATCAGGAATGTCTTTGAAAGTATGTAGGAATTTAAGAAATGCATCTAGGAAGAGCACATTTGCATTTTCCGAGGGAGCCGTGGGAGGCGCCTGCGCTGCAGGGCTGTTTTGAAGTTCTGCTTTAAATGAATGACATTAGTTAGCGGTGAGATAATGGGACAGATATTTCCCATAGCACTTTTGGAGTTGCGCTTATGGCCTGTCCCTGGCCGTGACACTGGGGCAGGCAGCACGGCCGCTCCCTGGCCATGACACTCCACTGGGGCAGGCAGTGTGGCCTCTCCATAGCCATGACGCTCCTCTGAGGCAGGCAGTGAGGCCTCTCCATAGCCGTGACACTCCTCTGAGGCAGGCAGTGCGGCCTCTCCCAATGACACCCCTCGGGGTCGGGCAGTGTGGCCTCTCTGTAGCCGTGATGCTCCTCTGAGGCAGGCAGTGCGGCCTCTCCCTGGCCATGACACTGAGGCAGGCAGTGAGGCCTCTCCATAGCCATGACACTCCTCTGAGGCAGGCAGTGTGGCCTCTCTGTAGCCGTGATGCTCCTCTGAGGCAGGCAGTGCGGCCTCTCCCTGGCCATGACACTGAGGCAGGCAGTGCCAGGTGCGGTTGAAGCTGTGGGCCGTATCCTGCCCTGTGCCACACAGCTCTCTTTGCAAAGTAGCATGGGGTGGAAGCGACCCATCCCTTGTGCCTGGCAGAAGGCTGGGTCCCAGCTCAGCATTCGGAGGAGCACCAGCCAGGGGACCATGGAGGAGGTGTGGTTTGGCAACCCTGTCTTCAGCTGTGCTCCAGCTGGAAAAGCATGCAGTCCCTCCCAGAGACACCACCTAATGCATGTGCCCATGATAGGTTTTTTGCCCTTCTGTCCCTTCCCTTACCGAGAGCCATCCCAGCTTCTCCAAGTACTTGTTCCTAGGTGCTGCTACTCCATCAGGGTGGCTGTTGTGAGGGAAAGTGGGGTTTTTAACTCTGTGATCTTGTGGTCCTCAGGGTTCGCCTGTAAGGATAGATTGAAGAGTAATGCTAATCAGCCCAAGTGCCAGCAGAGAAGTCCCAGCAGCTCTTCAGAGAAAGAGCTTAGCAATCTTAAAGTCACTTTAAACCTATGTATATTAAAATATTTATTTCCCGAAGCTTTGCAAAGCCAACTCTGAAATCTCATTTTGTAGCTTCTTACTTTGTTACCATCCTCTTGGTACCCCTCTGAGAGGTCAGCTTACCAGTATAATCCCACTCGCTGCACTGGAGAACGTGGTCTCTGTCCATGCATTCTTCCTGGAAGTAGCGTTTGATATGACGTTTTGTCCCAGAGATGTAGGTGCCAAATACTTTATTCTTGCGTAAATGTTACAGCACATGCTAAAGGTTAATATAGTCAAAGCACTGAGCTCTCTGCTCCCCAAGGTTAAATGAAAAACCACGCTGCCTCTAAACCAGTGGAACAATATTGATGTCACTTCAAACGTGTGTGCTGTGTGAATGGTGCCAAGCTACTCCGTAATGCTGTACTAAGATTTTACATTAGTGGGCCCTATTTTGTAATTGTGTGGTGACAGTGTGCTTAAAAAATGGGTTACTAATAAGTTTTCATGGGAAGTATTTGATGGTAGAGTTCTGCTTTCCAAATGAGCAAAATATGGTTGCTTCCTTGATGAATGCTAAGCAGACCTTTATAAAATTACTGTCTGTCTCTTAATTCACTTGTTTGAGCTGCAGCCCTTGGGTAATTTAGTGGGGTTTTTTCCAGTAAATTAACCTTTTATAAAACATGTTTCTCCAGTTGGTCACGCCAGAAGTCAGTGGAGTTCTTATTACATAAAACCGCTGCAGTGAGCACAGAATCAGACCTGCTGCTTAATGAGTCAAAAAAGAATCCCAAAGAAGTATAAAACACATCGTTGTTCTTGTTTGTTTGGTCCATAGGATCACAGCGAGCCTCTTCCCTTGCTGCATCAAGACTGGAACAGGCCATGTCTGAAATAACTATGCAGAGCAGCGCAATGAAGCAAGGGCCTATGCAGCTGTGGACAGCTCTTGAACAAATTTGGCTACAAGCTGGTAAGTCCCAGACCACTTGAAGTTCCTTTTTCTCTACGGTGGTGAATAAGATTGTCAATAAGAAGTATTGATGGAGTAATTGAAAATCACCTTATTCCAGCAGAAAATCTGCCTATCTATCCCAGACAGTTTTTGAAATACTGCTTATTTGAGTCAATGTAACAAAAAGATCCTGGAGTAGTGCGAATTTTTTCAGCTCACCTCCATTTTTCCATAACACAAAATTTCAGTCGTCACTAAAATACGCTTTTAAAAGAAGAGGATAGGTAATTCTTCATCCACAAATGGTAGTTGGTAGGGGCAATTATTTTTGTTCTCCTTTTCCTACGTGCTTCCCTGTAGTAAGACTGGGCAAACCATGTATTGAATGTTATTTAGACTGGGAACTTCCTAGTGTCCGCTGAGGTTTAAGTGAAAATTATTAAAAAGAGCAAGTCCTGCACTTACTATATCCTTGACTGAATCTCCCAAGGACTTGTACGTTGCATGTCAGTTTGAGACACGCATGCAGAGATGCTACAGCAGAGCGCATAAAGGGAAAAGAGAACAGTGAGAAGGAAATCTACCCAGAGGTGATGTCCAGACTCATGAAGAGGTTTTATGTAGGACATTTAGTGAGGAACAGAGTTGCACAGCACATTCTAGCATTTGCATTCACGGATTTCAGGGTCGAAAAGAGAGTTCTTGACCCTGCAGTTTTGCTCTTGAGAGACCTCATGTCTTCCACAACTGGACCCACAGTTGTGTGCCTGAACTTACAGACGAGTGCTGTGATGGCTTCTTAAATGTCTCTGCTGCCATACACAATCCCAGTAAATAAAAGCAGAGCCCACTTGAACCTTGTGATGATGTGCTATTCCGTATGCAGGAGAACCTTTCAAATTCTCATTTAGCTAATCTGTACAATTGACAGTTCTCACATAAAACCTGGCAGTCTCACCCTACTTCTCAGCAAAGATTTTTATAGCTGTTTTTGTGGGCCGTTTCCTACCAATTAGACTTCAGTTCTGGTACAAAATATGTGACTTCTTTTTAATTTGACTAACAAAAGAAGTTACCTTATGGAATGCATCACCCTATAAGTTAATCACATGTGTTCACTTAATGGCTTGTGAGTATGTAAATTTCAGTGATGTGCTGTGAGCTTCAAAACCACTGGCAAGATTTTGCTTTATTCAGTTTATGCTCCTGACTTAAGGCTGCAGAGGCAGCTGGTGGGGAGCAAAAAAAAAAAAAAGTAGTTTGTTGTGATGAGAAGTCAGGTGTCTGTTGTCCATCATCCTGCAGATGGCTCTGGGCAGTTTACATTTTTGCTGCTGTTGTGAAAAGACAAAAGCAATAAAGACCTAGTGCTTTCTGTGACCTAGCTGTGAATTGCTACGATTACTTTTCAGTGTAAATCAAGTGCCTTTCTCACAGGTGTTAATTAATTCTTTTAGACAGAATTTATTTTTACAAGCTGTAACTTTTCTGTCCTATTCTATAATTTTTAAAATCTTTGTTTTGTTTCATGCTTACTTTTAACTGGTCTTGAATCAGGTTTGGTATTCTGAAAACACATACTGTGCCTGTGTTGTAATTTCATTGCTGAAGTCAGTTATTGTTAAGGATTTTAATGAGCTCTTGGTGTGGTACTACTGCCCATTCTCTTCTCCCGATAGTGTGGAAGTCTCTGCATTCTGGTATATTCCTGAGGGATGAGGAGAGATGCAGGTGTTTTGGGGTGGTCTCTACTCTCTGCAGAGAAGGGCATAGTGCCTGAATAATTAGAGGACTTCTTTGAAGTGGGCCGGAGCTTACACTGGGCTTAGTGCATGGAATAGTCCAAAGGGGTATCACTGACCCTCTGCACCAGAATCTTTCCCATCTGGAAGGAGGGGAAAGAAGGAACAGGTGTACTAGTAAGAAGTTAATAACTTCCAAAGTAGAGGTGTTTCATAAACAACAAATTAAACAGAAATGCATGGTTAAAAAGAGTTGAGGTAGTCACATTCTTTTGCATTACAGCTCACCCCAAAATTAACAGCTTTGGAAAGCAACTGTGTCCAGAGTCCCTTCATGTTCATGATAGAGCTGCACCAGTACGCTGTAGATTTCTGTCAGGTTTAGCTTGGACTTGTCCTTTTTCAGGCAATGACTCATCTTGTGACTCCAGGCAAGTTGCCAAACTTCTTCATACCTCGATGTCCTATCTAAAGGGAAAAAATGTTAATCTGCCTTGGGGAAATGACTCTCGTAGGGTTGTTTTTGTTGTCGTTAACACTTAAACCTTTTTAGCCTGAAACATAAATCTCTAGATAAAATTATTACAGTTTCCTAACCTTGCACTACAGTAGATTTATAACAGAGCATCTGTCCTTTTCAGACACTAACAGGACGCAGCTCGCCACGTCTCTGCGTGGGGGTACGGGTTTAGTGCACCAGGCTGTGATCGTGTCTGGCTTCCATTAGAACTGTTACAGTTCCCATGCCTCTGCGTATCCCAGGACATGAATACTGATGGTACCAACAGAGCCAGTTAGAGCTTTCTGCATTTAGATTGGAAAGAGGCATACAGAACCAGCTGTCCCACAGCTACGTGAGGCTGTTCTTACAGACCTCTGGCAGCCAGGCCAGGCCACGAAGCCCGCACACGTCCTTGCCAGGGGCCTGTTAGTGGGTGGTAGCTATCAGATGGTACTTAAGTAGGGGAATTGTTACACTATCACCCTCCACCTGTAGCTGCAATAGGACTTCCTGCCTTGTGCAGAAGTCCCTCGGAGCTGGAGAGTCCTTGTTGCACTCCTAACAGGTCTCACAGTTAGTGCATGAGGGCATGTGCATGCTTTTAACGGCAGCTGAAGGCGTGTGAGGATGTGAACCCTGTGCAGATAGCTAAGCTCTTTTGTCCTGTGGTAAAGATACTTCTCTCATGCATAAGAGGGGATAGCCTTAGTGTTTTTATCTGTAATTTTTCTGAGTTTATGACCAGCACATTTACATAGGAAAGATAATAAAGTAGCATCTTTGGAAGTGCTGCTGCTAAGTCCAAATGCACTGTACTATAATGGATGCTGCACCTTGGCTTTCCCTGCAGCAGTGACTAGTGAACTTTGGCAAGCTAGTTTTTTGTAGCTACCAAAGAGCTACCTGATGGATCTGTGGTCTCTAGAAAGAGTCCTTTTCTTTCTCACGTCCAAATAAAACTGTGAATTCTCACTGTTAATCTTAAGTCCAACCATCTTTTTTAGGACCAGCTGGGAGTACAATCATCTGCAGCAGGGAACTTAGCACATTTCTTCAGTGGGCTTCCATGTCTTCCGTTTTCCCAGCAGGCAGTCACAATTAGCTTTGGAAGAGTACAAGGTCTGCTGTCCCTGAAGACTAGAGAGGTGGTCCACTCCCTGCGGCAGGCGTGCTTACAGGAATACTAATAGGCATACTAGGAATACTAATACGCATACTCTGGTTTTAAGTGTTCTGCAGCAAAGACTTTGATTAACACAGCTTGTCTGGTTCCTTTTAACAATAACCTCTCAGTCCCCTCGAAACGTAATGGCTTCTTAAAAGGAGTTGTCTCATTAGGCTTTAACATTAATATGCCTAAACATTATTCTTGGCCCCAAGTCTGAAACAGGTCGTTTCAAGGAGTATTCAGGAAGGATGCTGCAGCGCACACGCTGCCATGGTGCAGCTCCAGGAGAGGTGGGCTTATGCGATCCATATGCCTGTTTTTCCTCTTTTTTCTACTTTTCATGACTGAGAACTTTGAGAGGAGAGAAGGAACTTCTGTGGCATTGGTAGTGTATTAACTCCTTCCACCACTTATTTCAGGAATCCTTGAGTATACTGGTGATAATACTGCTTGTGTTACCAAGAGAAATGTCTGACCTAGGAACTATTTCTATCCCTTTTTTAAAATCATGCCAATACTACTCCTTTGTATATAGAAAATGCAATCATACTGTTTGGCTAAGGAAAATGTACTTGAAATGGTTCAAATTTATGACCAAAATTTACCTTCATTCAACATTTTTGTAAGATCGCTTTTGACCCAGCGAGCAAAGCGTGTCAGTACTGAGAAGAAATAGTTTTAATAGTTTTAAGCTCTTTGGGTAACTGGAGTGATTTCTTATCTGAAGTATGTGTGATTATATTTCCAGGCAGCAATAACTGTATGCTCTATTTACATGGAGTGTTTTAGAATGCTGCGAGCCAGTTTTAATAAGAGTTCTAATATCCCAGCTCCTGTTGCTATATTATTTTAAGCTTTACTTTTAACTACAATGTCCACTTTGTTTGTCTTTACTAGTACTTTATATCTGACAATTTAGCTTCTTGACTAACCCAATACTTTACCAAATATGGCCGCTCACAGCAAAGTAGGTCTGGTAATTTGATCTGAGGTTGGCCAGATGCCTGCTAAGCACAGTCTGCAAACCTCACCAGGTAGACCTAAGGCTAATTCAAAGGAGCATTTAAAGAAAAATGACTAGGATAACTATTCCATGTGGTCACACTGGGGCTGGAGTGGGCTACCTGCTGTCTCAGTAATGTGCTGAAGTTTACCCTAGGAAAAAAAGATTACAATGAGCGTGCTGCAAACAAGAAATGAGAGCTAGTGTAGCAGAGAGCAGTGAGCTAATGGAAAAACATCTGCTCCCCCGAGTTATGTACAGCAGGAACTTTTTTTTTTCCCCTTCACAAAACGCTTGCGATTTATTTATTTTATTCTGTATGGGCCAATTCCTGGGAAAAAAGCTGTGTTGGAGGAGATGGGCTTTGTTCCACGAGAGCGTGTCATTGGGGCCAGCGGGCTGGAATCTTCAACCCTGTCTGGCCCACGGCCGCACAGCCGCATAGCCTGCTCCCCAGCAGCAGCCAAGGGCACGGCCAGGCCCTCCCCTGCTGCCCCTCGGCACAGCTTGTATTGGCACAGCTTGCGCACGGGTGTTTAAATGCTCTTCCTTCCCGATGCTTTTAGCGATCCTAAGCCCCCGCAAGTTATTAGCTCTGATATT